CCAGGAGGTGCCCTTTGCCACGTGTGATTCCTCTGCTTCTGCCCTGTCTGCCACCCTCTGCTGCCCTCCCCTTCCTCCCGCAGGGTTCTAGCTGTTTGCCCTCTCCTCCAGAGCTCGGGGAGGGAGGGAGGGACCAGTGGGCCCTGTGGGGAGGAATTCTATATCCCAGCCTATTCCTTCCTCCTATTCCCTGGGGTGGCATAGCCCGGATGTAACCCCCTGGACACAGTGCCCGCCCTCATTGGCCTCCATTGTGAGTAGCCAGGCTGTGGCTAATTAGGCCACAGCCAACCCTTCCACGTGCCCCTACTCCTGAGAGGAAGCTGCTCCCACGATGGCTGGTTTATCCAGCTATAGAGACCCAGAGAGCTAAGATGACTTAGCCGTTGGCTCTCTTGGCTCTTAGAAGCCTGGGCCCAGGGCTGGGCACAGGGTGAGGCTCTCCGGTTCACCTCTTCCCCTCACCACGTCCCCTTTCCCCCTCTGCAGGAAGGAGTGTCTCGTGAGCTCCTCCGGGAACGACAACACTGAGAATGGGCTGCCGGGCTCCAAGGCGGAGGAGAAGCCACCAACAAAAGTGTGAGGCCCCGCGGGGGGCCCAGCAGCGTGGGGAGCCCCGCTTTCTGATGGCCACCTTGACGCTTGAGCCCTGTCAGTAGAACCCACGTGCCCGATCTATCTGCTGCTTGGCTCCAACTGTAGTCTCTCTGGGCAGGAAGGAACCGGCGTCCTTCCTCGCTTGTCTCCGCTTCCTCCTCCCTTCCCCAGCTGTCCAGGCACGAGGGCTGGCCAGCGGAGCGGCCTGCAGAGGGTTGAGGAGAGGGAAAGGAGGGGGCTTGTGGTGTGAAGGGGCTGGTCCCCAGCACCTGGGAAGATGGGCTCTCCGACCTGAGTGACCAGAACCTTGGTTTTCCTCGATTTATTTTTTTCTTCACCGATTGGGACCTGGGCGGTGGGGTCAGTAAGGATTCCCTCAAAAGCTGGACCGTGTAGATGGGTTGAAGGAAGAGCCCTGTATGGACAGTAAATGCTTTTGATGGTGGAAGCCAGCTGGCGGACTCTGGAGAGGACCTGGGAGCAGGGCTGAGGGTCACATCAGAGGCAAACTAGGCTTTTGGGGATACCTGATCTTTCAAGGCTGTCTCTGAGCTGACCCCCTCCCCCCAAGCTGGGGAACTTCCCTCCCCCCCACTTCCCTCTCATGGGGGCGGGGTGTTGGCCTTGTCCCAGCCTCCGCTTCCAGGTCCATACCCTGCTCCGAGTTTCTAACCTTCCCAAGTTTTCCCAAGGTTTTTCCAGCTGCTTCTTGCTCAGCTGGACCTCTTCTCCCTGCCCAGGACTGAGGAAGGGCAGAGGGAGGCTGGCCTCCACTTGTCTCCTGCTTTTTACACCGCTGGTTTGCACACCCCTTCATTGTGGGGCTAGACTGTGCCTTAGCTCCCCGAGTCCTGGCTTTTACCCTCTCCTCTTTCGCTCTGTGGCCCAGCCCTTGGAACTGCACACTTCCCGGTCTTCCACACGGTGTGGGGGGGGCCGTGAGGCTGGAGGCAGGTTGGCGGAAACCCCCCCCCCCCCCCCCCCGGGCTGGCCACTGGGTCTTGGAAACCCCTGTGAGGGCGCTCCTGTCCAGGAGCTGTGGTGGTGAGGCTGGGTCTTCTGATGGGTCTGACTTCAGGATCCCAGTGAGGTGGACACCGGGAGGGGTGAGGGCGGGTCCTCTGTCTGCTCTCTCCCCTCCTCTCCCCTGCTGGACGTCTGACTTTGTCCTGGGGCCTGGGGGTGGTCCTAGGGGAATCGAAAGAAGCAGTTCTTTTCTGGAAGGTGAGGACTGCCTGGGGTTCTGCCACAGGCTCCCCATGGTGACAGTGGAGGGAGGAACAGCCGTACCCACGGGTGCCCCGTGGCTGTGGACAATGCCCCCATCTAAGTCAAATCCCCTCTGATCTGCCTCTTCTTCCTCTCCGCCAAGAACCCCTGCAGGGCTCAAGTTCAGATCTCCGTGGTTTCCAGAGCAGCCAGACATTCAGGAAACTTCTAGCTGCCTTCACGCACAACTGCTGTGTTCTCCTTTCCCTGCACTAGCACGGGGAGAGGCAGAGTGTTTGGGGTCGTCTCTGTCTCCCCAATGACAGCTAGTGTGCGGGTGGCTCCTGCAGCTCCCTCCCAGCCTTTGCCATCTGTCTGATGGGCGTTATAACTTACCTACCTCACGGTCTGTGGTGAGGCTTGGCGAGTTCGGGCTTTGATAGAGCGGTTTGGCTTGAAAAGGCATCTGGGAAGCAGGTTTTATAAATGGAGTGATGACTCCAAGTCTTTCTTGTCCTCATCTTGTGACCCATTCCTGCATACATTCTCTCTCTCTCTCTCCTCCTTTCTCTTTCTCAGTCTCTCCACTCCTCTCCCCTGCAGCTCTCCAGTCTTTGTCATCTTAGCAACATCAACTCCAATGGATGCTTTAGGTTTCTTAACCACAGCTTTTTTCCCCTTCTTTTTTGGTGGTTTTCAGCAGAGGGATTGGAACTGGCGGCAGGGCAGGGGAGGGGATAGTTTTGGTCAATGTCTGGGACACCCCTGGTGGGTAGGGAGGAAGAGTGTGAGGTCTGAAATCTTTGCAACACAGACTGCCAGGTCCCCAGAGCCAGTGTTGTGCCCCTGGAGAATCACTGTGTCAGATTTGCAATCATCTGTAAAGAGGTGAAGCTGTTTTTCCCACGCATGGCAATCTCCCTGAGTGGCCTCCAGGACCAGCGAGCTGACCAAGGTGATCCTGAACCTAGTGAACCAGAACTGAGCATGCGCGTGCTGACAGTGCCATCCACGAGAGGAAGTTCAGAGCTCCTCGCCCTTGACCTTAGAACAGGACATTATTGGAGGCCCTGGGTTCTCAGCCAAGGATGGCATTGTGTGGGGGGAGAGCGGGGTGCTGGCTTTTCTGGCTTCCTTTGACAGATCTGGCTGCAGGTGTGTGCTTGTGAGCACCTGTGCGGACGGCGGGTCTGCGGAGGGGGCTGGGCTGTGCAGATGCCAGGTAGGGGGCTCCACACGGGCCAGGCGCCCTCTTCCCTAGCTCGAGTTGGAAACTGAGGAAGAAGAAGAGATGGGGCCAGTCATGCTCCTCAATTCTGTCTGTCTGCAACCCCATCCATCAGTGATAAAACAGATGCCAGCGGAGGGGTGGAGGGAGCGGGGTTCTGGGGGACACCTTTCAGCTTGCTGCACTCTGACCCAGGCTGGAGTCCCGCCCCTCCCACCTGACCTGGGCGCTTCTGACTATCTTATGCATGGTTTATTCCTCTGGCTTGGAAGACAATTCCCATAGCGAACTTTCCTATATAACTATAGATCTAAGGACACTGACAGGCCTTGGGGGCGGGGTGGGGGGCCCTCTGGGACGTGTGCACCCTCCTGCCCTGTCCCCCCAGTCCTGACTCCCTGTTCAAGCACAGAATGAACACGATCAGACTGTTCTGCTTCTACAAACGATTTGCATTGTAGAATTGTACTTAGCTTTGCTTTGGATGAAATAAAAACTATTTTTAATACGTTGTGAGGTTTGTGTTTCCTCTGGGGCTAGCTGGGAGCTGCTAAGGGCGTGGGCCGGTGGGCTCTTCTGGATAGTGGAGGGAGGGGATCCTGAGGAGGAGGAGGCCTAAAGAGGGCTGGGGAGGAAGGGCCCAAAAGCAAGGTGCAGCCATGCCTTCTACCCCAAGGTAGCCAAAGAACAGAGGAGCCCCTGCTCAGTGCAGGGCGGGTCCTGATCATGTCATCAGAGGCCCCAGTAAGTCTGGCAGAGTGAGCTGGGATGGCCAGGTGAGTGGTAGAAACTTGGTTCCAGATTGTGGAGGAGTGGAGGTCCTGGGGGCGGGGGGGGGGGGGGGGGGACAGCGGCAACAGCGCTTAAGGTTATAGCTCTTGAGTTCAAGCTCCAGAGCTGCACCAGAAAAATGAAACAACTGCATAGAGATGTTTTCAGATTAAAAAAAGAATTTCCCTAGCATCCAACCCCAGAGACAACCTAATTATCCTTTGACAGGCAGGTGGATGTATTAGATTGATGTTATAACCCCAAGATGGAGTACTTTATGCAGAAAACGGTTTTGTGCAGTTTGTAGTGCAGGAGGCGTAAACATGGCTTCTGCTCGCCGGCCCTGCTGGTGGATGGGACCATGATGGCAGAGACACGGGGAAGAGTCAGTTTTACCTGAAGAACCACTCTTGAAGTACTGGTCTGCGACTCCCACGATGAGTGTTCCATGGCCAAACTACCTCCTATAAAGCTCCTCTTCTTAAAGGGCCTGACACCCCCAACACTGGGAATCTGTTAGGCCTTACCATTCTAGCTTCTATTCCTCATGGCCAGGTTTTCATATTCTATCTAACTCCTTATCTCTTTCTGCTATAATCGAAGTGGCTATCATAGTTCACTTATTCTCTCTCTCTTTTTCTGTCTCTCTCTTGCCAGTATTATTTTTTGAACTGAGAGCCTTCTTGTACATGCTCAGTTTGTATGCTCAAGTAGTGCTCTACCATCTGAACCATGCCTTAAGCCTGACTTTTTGCAATTTTTTTTTTTGGGGTCTGGTCATGGGACCTGAACTCTGGGCCTGGGCGCTGTCCCTCAGCTCTTCAGCTCAAGGCTAGCGCTCTACCACTTGAGCCACAGAGCCACTCCCGGCTTTTTTCTTTTTGCTTATGTGGTGCTGAGGAATTGAACCCAGGGCCTCAGGCATGCAAGGCAGGCGTTCTACCACTGAACCACCTTCCCAGCCCTGCAATTATTTTTGGAGATGGAATCTTGTGGACTTTTCTGGCTGGACTGGCTTTGAGCCTTGATCTTCGTATTCTAGCTTCCTGAGTAGCTAGGATGACAGGCCTGAGACATCGTTGCCTAGCTCACTTCTTTCTTACTCTGTGTCTTATATGATTTTTTACCACCCAGTCTGTGTTTCATTTTCACAATTACAGTGTTTACTTCTAAGAGTGCTATTGCGTTTTCCTTGGAATCTCCTTGTCCTATTTTCTGATTGCTAAAACACTTTTTTTCAACAGCAAGTTGCAAGTGTTGGCGAGGAAGGAGACTTAAGTTCTTGTGGACTGTCTTTCCACATAAAGCCCATGGTAAAAGGGTGGGTAATGGTAGCAGCTACAGACGTGAGGTGATGACGTTTACATTGCAACTGGTTTCTTGCTGCAGTGGGCTTAGGAATAGATGAAGGAGGGGAGGGCTGGTCAGACTCTTTCCTCCTCCACTCAGTGTTGGTGACCTGGGCTCCCATGACGGAGTCACTGTCCATTCAGTAGAGAGGAAGTGCTCCTTCTTGGCCTGCCATGGGGGTCCACAGGTTGCTTCTCTGGGATTCTGGGAGCCTGGGCGTGGCTGAGCTCACACCGCTGCCTTCCCCAGAGCTCTGGAAGCCTCTCGCAGGAATGGAGGTCCTCCACTGCTCCGAGAGATGCGGGGCTCTGATGGGGGCTCTGGCTCTGTGTCTGACTTCTGGGGGGTTCTGGGGGTGCAGGGCAAGGGCGGGAAGCAGCTCGGTACTGAAGAGGGTCAGCGGCTTTACAGCTCAGACTGGAATTAAAAAAATGGAGATAAGGTCTGAGGATTTGCAACTGGATCAAGGGGCAACAAGGGGCAAATTATCTTCATTTTAGGAGGTTCTCCCCCCCACCCCTGCCACCATTCTCTCTCTCTGTCTCTGTCTGTCTGTCTGTCTGTCTGTCTCTCTCTCTCTCTCTGTCCTTCAGGGGCTGGGATATAGCATTCTTTCCATCCCTCTGATCACAAGCTTCTCTCTGGAAAGAATCCGACAGTCTCATTCTGAGAGAAAAGTGAGACTGTTTAAGCTCTCCGCCGCATACCATCCTGAGCCTCAGTGCACTTAGCAGAAAATCTCTACCCTGAGTTAAATTTGGCCTTCACGAAGGACTCTCAGGCTGTTGGCTTCTGGGGAGGGAAAATGATTTGGGATGTACAGGGCTGTCAGAGCCACTGAAATGGAGGCCAAGGGTGGCTTGTTCCCTCCTGGTAGAGGGTGGGTGGGAGGGAGGGTAACAGAGGTGGGTGGGGGACACACACACACACACACACACACACTCACCTTCCGGACGGTGTAGATCCAGTCAAGATAGGCTGTGACCTTGGTGTACACTCCTGGGGTGCTGGGACCCCCACAGCCATAGCCCCAGCTCACAATGCCCACCACCTGCCACTGGTCAGACTGGTACATCAAGGGCCCGCCGCTGTCACCCTGTGAGGGGCCAGAACGGGCTGCTGGGAAGGGAAGACGGGCGGGAGCCGCCCTTCCCCTCTCTTCTGGCTAACTGGAACAGGTCCGCTCACCCCTGGGCACCCAGCAGGTAGGTCTGCCCTCACCTGGGTTCTCATTTTGTTCAATGCTCTGTCTGCCTGGGGTCAAGGGGTCTGTGTGGGGTCAAGAAGAGAGCTGTGCTGTCAGCCCACTCTCAATTCCTGAGTTTATTTAACAGCTCAAGGGAATGACTATTTTGTGTCAGTTACTATTCTGAGCAACTGAGATCTGGTTACTTGGAAAAAAAGATCCTTGTGCTTATATTGTAATCATATGGGAAGTGAGTCACTAAACAAATAACAAATCAAGAAATGCACTTATTGGGTGCCTTTATTACTGACTTTCTGAACTCAAGAATCATAAAAGGAATAGCTTTTTGTGTGCCCTCATCTTGAATGAGGGCTTTCATGGCTGGGAGTAGGGGAGTAGGATTGTAATCTTAGCTACTCAGGAGGCTGAGATCTGAGGATCATGGTTCAAAGCCAGCCCAGGCAGGAAAGTCCATGAGACTCTTATCTCTAATGAGCCACCAGGAAACTGGAAGCAGAGCTGTGGCTCAAAGTGGTAGAGTTCTGGTCTTAAACAAAAAACGCTCAGGGACAGTGCCCAGGCCCTGAGTTCAAGCCCCACAACGGACAAAAAAGAAAAAGAAAAAAAGAATCTTCAAACAAAGGGTTCCAGAGACCCTCTGGAAGCATGGGTGGAGGGAATGTGCACAGACCACTGAGCAGTCCTATGACAATGTGCCAGGGCTCATCTAGCATGAGGTTTTTCCTTTTCTTATGCAGGAGAGTAGCTTAGGGATATTCACAGGGATAAGAGACCTGGCAAACCTGCCCAGAGGGGATCATAGTCCTGTGGATGATGAGGGAGGGGAGAGATGATAAAAGTGGGAGGAGAAGGTGAGTAGTGTCATCTTTGTATGTGAAATGGGCATGTATAATCTTTCTGCTTGTTGAGATCCATCCATCTATCAATTGATCCATCATATCCATAGATCCATCCATCCATCCATCCACCCATCCATCCATCCATCCATCCATCCATCCATCCATCTACCTTCTCATTTGATCTTAGCCAAAAGGTTGAGCAGCAATCCATTTTTTTTAAAAAAAGATTTTTTTTGTTTTGTTTTGTACCAAAACAGAGCTTGAACTCAGGGTCTTAAACTTGCTCAGCTTGCTGGCTCAGCTGGCACTCGACCACTTGAACCACACCTCCAGCCCAGTTTTTTTTTAACTGGTTATTTTGGAGATGGAGTCTAGTGGACTTTTCTGACCAGGCTGGCTTTGAATCGGGATCCTTGGATGTCAGTCTCCCTTCTGAGTAGCTCGGATTACAGGAATGAGCCACCTGTGCCCAACCCATTCTTTATATTTTTATCCGACTCGATTCCTTCTTCTCTTCCCTCATTACACAATGAGGGCCCGTTATTTGCAAGACATCGTGTAAGGCAGCCAGCCTCCAGGTTTTCACATCTCTCTAGGACCTACATCTCTATTGAAAGTTTCCCATGATCCTTAGAGAACCCACCTGGCAGGTATCCACACCACCACCTGGGAGGCCTGCACACAGCATCTTCTCGCTCACTTCCCCCTGGTAGGCATCCTCAGCGTTGCACCGTGTGCTGTCGATCACCTGGACTGTCGCCTGCAGCAGCGTGTCAGACATCTTTCCTGGGAGGATGGAAACATGTCCATTCTCATATCTTTCCTGGGAGGATGGAAACATGTCCATTCTCATTCTTGCCTCTACCCTCATCCGGGTTAAATTCTCTGGGTCATCAAGCTCTTTGAGCCCAACCTCATACAAGGGCATCTGTCACCCTGCAGTCCTGAGCCCAGGACTTACCTCCATTCTGCTCTGTAAAGCCCCATCCGATGACCCAGAGCGGGGTGGCTGGTGCGAGCCTCTCATCAAAGAAGGGCAGGCAGATGGGTCTTACTGTGGCTGTGAGGAGCAGAGAGAGGGGGGAGGGAGAGAGAGAGAAGGAGGGAGGGAGAGACAGAGAGGGAGGGAGAAGGAGATCAATCTTGTATTAATGATCAGTATTTTATTTTCTGTGTTTTTCGATGCTTTGACATGTTGGGGATCTTGCTGGTCTGGGAGCGACTGGGTTAGTTAATTCCTAGCGATAATTAATAATGATAATTCCATATCTCAACCACCTTCTTTATCTAGCTCTTGCACACCAAAGCTAAAATTTATTCCCTGTCCCAGATTACCTCAGGGGCAATTATTAGACAATTTGAGACCAACTTCTATAGCTCAGAGAATTATTCACACTCTGTAGCCCCAAACTTGCTCAAACTTGTCTGGGGCTTTCTGTGGCCCCCCAGGTAGGCCCTCCCTCTTGTCTGCCTGCTGAGCCAGTGGGCCCCATGTGGCCCCACCCCGCGTGAGGTGAGGACTGTGAGGATTAAATGTTGTCTCTATGACCACCACTTCACCACCCTCATTAAAACAAGCGTCAGACCCAGGGGTCAGGAAAGCCTGGCAGCCAAGGCCTGAAAGGGACCTATCAGTGTTTCTATGACATTTCTTTTGTGGGATGCAAATAGACATGGTATGAAAAAGAAAAGGCTTTTGTGGTCATATAAGTTTGGAAAACAGCTTCTTTAAAAACTTCTCTTACCCTCAATAGATGATTGTGTTTCAAGAAGGAAACTGTAGTCTACACATGTTTCCCCAACTTATTTGATAATGGAACTCTCTCTTCCCTAAAGGATCTTGTGGAACTTCCTGTTGGAAATGCTTTACCTTAAAATTGATTCAGTAGAAAGCTGGGGCATGTAATAGAGTTGTTCAAAGAGTCTCTGGGCTGCCTTAGGAGTAATGACTTCCCCAGGCCTGGAAGCAAGCAAGCCGGGGCTCAATGGCCGAGTCTGCTCGGCCTTCCTCAGAGCTGGGGAATGAACCGGCTCATCTTCACAAAAGGCCCTTATGATTCCAAGACTGAGGTGATCTCGGATCCTCACTTGAGGATCAGGCCTTGGAAGAATTTTCAGGAGGATGGCAGATGGGGTGAAGCTGACAGCTAGAAGGAGCCCGTGACATCGGGCTCATTCGTAAATTGGAGACAAACAGGCAAGTTGAGGTTTGGAGGCAGGATGTGATGAACTACAGGTCACCCAGCGCGCTGGAGGCAAGGTAAGGTAAGAGAGACCCCAGGAACGTCTCTCCCCAGGAACGTCTCTCACCTGAGAATGTGAGTGGGTGCTGCAGCTTTACGAGAGCAATGTCCTTCTCCTTGGGGGACAAGGGGTTGTGTTTGGTGACGAAGATCTTGGCCACAGGCAGGGATGGGAAATTGCCCAGTTGGTCTGAGCCGGCCCTCACCTTCCAGTTGGACACATCCAGATACTTCCTGGGAGCAGAGATGGTGGATTCAGGCTGGAGCTAGGCAGGAGGAAGTGTTGCCAAAGGGCCAGCTCCTTAGGAGCCGGGGATTGGGGGTGAGGGGTACTGTTGCTTTAGGAGGTGATGGGCACTTGGGGGTAGAGACGGCGGAGAAGGAAGTCTGAAAAATCACATCCCAGAAGACAGACTCTCCAAGAGAAGCTAAGCCTGGTGCGGTTGGCTCATGCCGGACATCCTAGCTACTTGGGAGATCTGAGGATCATGGTTCAAAGCCAGCCTGGGCAGAAAAGTCCTTGAGACTCTTATCTCCAATTAACCAGCAAAAAGACAGAAGTAGAACTGTGGTTCAAGTGGTAGGACACCAGCTTTGAGTGAAAAAGCCAAGGGACAGTGCCCAGGTACTGTGTGCCCAGTATTGGCACACACCAAAAAAAGTATGTGTGGGGGGGAGGGAGGAGGTGGACCGAGTTTCTTTTCCTCCTCAGTGAACCAGGCATTGGTGTGTGCAGAGCTTTGCCAGGAGACAATTTATAGGTCTTGTCAGAGGCTTGAAAAAGGTAAAAACGCCCTGGCCTAGACCTGGAATGCCTTAAAGGAGGGGTGGGCTGGCAGAGCACTCAGCTGTAGAATCTGGGCGCAGCTTTGCTCTTGCTCATTGGAAGGCACGTGAATGAATGAATGAATGACAGTGGAGAGGGTCTGCAGCCAGCTCTTCTCAGTGACATGACCAGGCGTGGATCTGCTGGACTGAAAAGGACCCTCTCTCTACCTGGTTCAATTTCTGTAAGGAATAAGGGAGCAGTGGGAAGTCGGGACCCTGGGGCCATTTCCCGGAAGACAGGCTGGGAGGGAGGGAGGAGTTCTGGGAACCCCAAGCAAGTAGGAAAAGTGTTTGTGGAGTGAATGAGATGAAGATGGGTGGGAATGCTGGGAGGTCAAACTTGGTGACCAGCACCTGCGGCTCAGACCGAACCCCCTCCCCCGTCCCTCCCCCCCCCTCCCCCCCGCAATGTCTACCTCGGCCATAAGGACTAAGTGTCTCATCCTGGCAGTGGTGGGCTGGCAGGGGCTGGCATGGGAAACCCTGCCCCTCCTCAGCCTCTGTCCGCCCTCCCCCCTGCCCCGTCCCCCCCCCCCCCCCCGGCAGCTGGCTCCTACCTGAAGCAGTGGGCCGCTGTGAGGATCCAGAGGGGGTCGAGGATGCTCCCACCACAGACATGCTGCTGATTGTACTGGACGCTCACCTGCCAAGGCCACGATTCCACAGAGGCCTCCTCCCCACCGACCACCCTGGGACTCTTCAGACTCTTCCCACAGGCTGGACTCCAAAGCAGGAAGGGAGGATCGGGAAGTAAGGCTCTGGGAAGAGGGGCTGTCCTCTCCTAGAGCCCAATGTCTGCCCTCAGCAAGGTCATTAGGCCTGGTGTGGGCCCAGTGGAGAGGCCCTGGCCTATTCTGAATGATTTCTGGGGAGAGCACACTGTCTGGTTTTGGCATTGGGCGTGTTTAGGATTTCAAGCAAGCGGTGTCTATGGTGCTAGGAATTTATGACCTGCTGACCAAATAGGGATGCAGGATTACCACAGCCCTGCCCCCGGGGAAGTGTCCCCAGCTGCTCCCACTGAGCGACAGCAAACAGGGGCCCACAAGCCACTTGGGCACCCGGAAGTGGGAAGAAAGTTCTAGAAGCTGGATCTCCCCACCCCAAGTTACTTTTACCTGCTCAGGGAGGCTCCTGACTGGCCATCTTGTTTTCCCTTGACCTGGTTTTTACATTTGACCCTTGAACTCTTCTTTAATACCTCCAATTCCACTTCAGTTCTTTGGGCACCACCCCCTACTCTCCCCCAGAGTCTTTCCCAGGGGAGAGGCTGCCACCCTCTCCCACCTGCCCAGCTCTGGGCCAAGGAGGGGCCTTCCGAACACCATCCGATTCCAAACCCTTCTTCCTTCGTGCCACTCAAAGTCACAACCACTTCCGGTGGCCTCCTGTTGTCTGTTTAGCTGACCTGCATGTGGCTTCTGGAATGATCTGTGTATTGTTGGACTGTGTCCCTCAAAGGGTTGTGTGTGGGAGCTTGAGAACGCCCCAGCGGGGGGGGGGGGGGGGGAGCTGGTGGCCCTTAGGTTGCTGAGGGGCTTCCCAGGCCCTTGTGGGATAAGGGGCCTTGTGATGGTGAGCGGTTTCAAGGCTCCTCGCTGCTTCTGCTCTGGCTTCCGCTTCGTCCTGTGATCTTTCACTCTTGCTCCTGCCTCTGCTACTGTTCACCATCCTCCATTAGGCGCTCACCAGAGTCCAAATCCATAGAGCCGCCTGATCTTGAACCTTCAGCCTGCTAACTGAGCTACCTCAACCTCTTTTCTTTATAAAGTTAACTTGCCCTTGGTATCTCGTTATAGTAATAAAAACAAATATGTCAATGGGCTGTGAACGGATGGTAGAAGGAAGTTCGTAATATCAACCACAGAAAGGATAATGACCTACAAGTCCAAGGGCCAAAAGAGAGTGAAGCTTAGAGTTCCTGCTTAGGGCTGGCCCATGCCCCAAACCCTCAGAAAGAAAGTGTACTCACCCAGGCATTGCAGAGAAACCAGGGAGCCTGAGACACAGGGTCTGGAAGAGAAATCCAGGGCCCCGTAGGTTCTGCTTCTCCCTTGGCTGGGAGGCAGCAGCTGAAGCCTTCTGGCACTGCTAAGTCAAGTCTGCACAAGAAGGCCTATGTAGAGACGGTGCTAACATTTGGTGCAGTTTGAGCTGATTCAGCCCCATTATTGAGCACCTACAGTGGGCTAGTTCCTGCCCATTTCAAAGCCCTTCCCATAGCTGGAGAAGGAAGAGAACAGCGGTCAAAGCAGAGTCTTCTAACACTGTGGCCTTTCCAAATTCAAAGACAGATTTTGCTGGGGTTTTAGGCAAACAATCATTCTCCCATCAGCCCTGTCTCTTCCAAAATTTACTGCATTGAGTAGGCCGCCCTCGGCCGCATCTCTGAATGCTAAGAAGCCAGCGTCACCCAGCCTCTTTGCTGCAGTGAGAGATAGATTTCCTTTAGCTGCCCTGCTCTGATGCAGGAGTTTGTGTCTCTGGGGAATGGGAAGTAGGCGGTCCTAGCTACGCCTGGACCACCTGGGTACGCGTGGTGAAGGACAAAGCAACTTTGAGAGTTTTGCCCAATGGGAATCTAAAGGAGTAGCATAAACACACTTGGCTTTGCTCTGCAAGTTGGCAGAAAGCTCGGGTTATTCATCTGCCTGCCTTTGGGTAGGAGGGCACACCGGCTGGCCCTTGTATTAAGGAAAAGAGTGGAACTTGCCAGGTGTTGATGGCTCATGCCTGTAATGTCAGCTATTCAGGAGGAAGGCTGAGATCTGAGGATCATGGTTTGAATTCAGTCCATGAGACTCCTATTTGCAATTAAACACACACACACACACACACACACACACACACAAACACACACACACACTATAAGTGGAGCTGTAGTTCAAGTGGTAGAGCACTGGCTTTGAGCTAAAAAATTTAAGGGACAGCCCTGAGTTCAAGTCTGGCTAGTTCTTCCTGTTGGCTAGCTTGTATTCCCCTTGCATTGGTCAGCTCCCAGAAGCCCCCAGGTAGACGATGTCCTCTCACTTACCCACTTGAGTTCTGAGCCTGAAGCTCCTGGTTTTTTTCTGTAACCTGAAGAACAATCAGGTTCTGGTCTGGCATGATCTCCACTGCTCTGAAAGTCGGTTGGCTGCAGTGGAGAGAGAACGGGGAGCTGGGGTGGAGACTGGGACCAGATGGCCGGGGCAACCCCCATTTCGGCTGAGAAGGTGGGGAGAGGGGAGGTAGGGAGCAGAGGGCGTCTGGGTCAGCGGGCGGTGCCTGTTTTGCAATAGGATACAGGACATTTCCTTGGCAGTCTAGGACTTAGCACTGGGCACAAAGCCACTATTCTAGAACTCGGAGTTCTGGAGAAATCAAGATCCTCTTTGCTGTCATCCTGCTCTGTTCTTGTTTCAGATGTCCCAGAAGTCCCTTCTGCTTTCATCGTGGGGAAGGAGGGACAGAAGCGCCTGGGAGAAAGACTTGAATGTGGATAACCAGTTCTGCAAGAGAGGCAGCCGGCCTGGTTTTGACAGTGGCCCCCTGGGAGAGAGGGCGGGACTGGGCCTGCAGACAGCTTGGTGCTCCTAACGTGGGCCACTTTCCTCTTTCCTTTTTGTCAATGGTGTGTAGTTTCCTTCAAACCCAGGGGTTGTCTTCCTTCCTCGGGGAAGCCCTCCCTGACTACTCCAGTCTCCATGGCTCTTCCTTTTCCAGCTTGTTCTTTTCTTCCTCACCTCATTTTTCAGGAACAAGGTGTGCCTGTGCACCTCCATTTTTGCCTCCTAATTCATGCCTGGACCAGACAGTCCCTGGGGTGCCCCCCCCCTTGGGGATCATCTATGCCTGGAGTCCTGGGGCGAAAAGGGCCGACAATCCAGGAGGAGGAGAGAAAGGGAAATCTGAGCAGAGAAATCCGTCCCAGAGGAGGGACAGTGCAGGGAAACGGACATTCCCAGGTAAGCTAACCGCTGCTCACCCATGCTAACCAATTAGCGTTTTGAATAATTCTAATGAACTTTGTTTCTGCTGAATACAAGGAGCTGGGGGGGGGGGGAGGGTTCAGGGCCTCTGTGATCTCGCAGGGGTGGATTATAGGAGGCACCTGGTTCATATCCGAGCATCAGCTGCTGAGCAGCGCTGGGCAGAGCTGAGGCTGCAGTTGCTGGACTGCAGTGGGAGGAGGGGCTGGCTGGAGTCTGGCAGGGCTGGGGCAGCAAGAGGGCAGGGCAGCATGTGTTGAGATGCCCTTCTGCTCCATTTGCTGGGGTCCTTTCCAGAAGGCTCTCCCCTCTCCCTGAGGGTGAAGAGCAGCGGAAACCTTGTCATCAGGAGGAGCCTAGAGCAGCTCAATTTGTGATGGCTGCCTGGGGCAGATCTTTGAGGCTGTTAAGGGATCCACGTGGGAGGGTTCTGTGTTTGGCTAGTGATGTCTGCCTGGTGCTGCTCATTTCTGCCTCTGCACTGGGCTCAGTTTCTCTGACTCCTGAAGGAGTTTGGGGCCCACCAGGGAGAGAAATCACAGGTTCTTTCCCACTTTCTCCAGATAGGTTCTCTGTTTGCTCACTCCACCTCCTTTATAGATAAAGCCCTATATTAGAATTACCCAAGGGACCAAGACAGGGGCCAGGGCTCTAAGCCCGGGCTAGGCTTTCCTCCTAGCCCTCTACCTTCTGGCTTCTTTCTACCTTAGTAACTTAGGAACTTTCTCTGAGCCTACTTATAACAGAGAGGTAATAATAACTGCGCCTTTGGTTTTCTGCCAAGATCAAATGAATATAAATACAGATCATGCTAATTACCCCTCTTATAATTATATAGTCTTCCACCCACTCCAGATTTGGAACTGCATTTGCAATTTGCTGAGAGCTGGGCTTGAAGATGCTAGGCTTGGATGAAGTCAGGCTCATCTCTACCAGTTTCAACCAATGGGATGTGGAGTAAGTAAATCCGGCTGCTGCAAGTCTGGTCTGGCCAGGGCTGGAATTGTGTGTGTGTGTGTGTGTGTGTGTGTGTGTGTGTGTGGTATAGGTGCTGGTGCACATCCTTACACCCCTAGATGAGGTTGACATTGTTTCCCCCAATTAACTCTTGGTTTCTTTTGAACTCAGGGCCTAGCACTTACTAGGCAGGTGCTCTACCACTTGAGCCATGCCCCCAGATCTTTTTACTTTAGTTATTTTTTCAAGTAAGGGCTAATATTTTTGCCCAGGGCTGGCCTCAGAGCTGCCCATGATCCCTATGGAGCTAAGATGATAGGTGAATACCACTGCCTGTGGTTTATTGATTGAGATGGAGCCTCCATGTACTCGGACTGGCCTCAAACTCGCGTATCCCAATTTCTGCCTTCCTTCCAAGAAGCTGAGGTTATGACGTAAGCCATTGTGCCCTGCTTGCAGTTAACTCTTCAGGAAGCTGGGTTAGAAGATTTAATTTCACATTGCTTGCAAATACAAGTGATGGGGAGGAAGGGGAGCAAAGAGGAAGGAAAGAAAAAGGAAGAGACAGCGGGGCTGGGGGGAGGGGGGGATGCTGGCCTCCAGAGGCTTGGTTGGGTACCTGTGATAGCCCATCTGTCCACAGGCTGTCTTGGCCAGGGCTTCTGTGAAGTTGTCAAAACAGGCAGAGGCCCAGTTCCCTGTGACCGGGTCCAGTACTTGTAGAGTCGATCGGTCCTTGGAGAGGCGGACTGGGAGGGGAGGAGGGCAGTCAGCAGGAGGGTAGCACCCCTCTGGCCCAGCCCTTAAGAACTAAGGAACCCAGATTCCCTCAACCCAGAACTGGGGCCCTGATGCTTTGAACGTCAAGAGAAGTTCCTGCGTTTGACTTGGTCTGTTTGAGCCTCTTTTTATTTTGTCTGTAGTGGGGGTTGAACTCAGGGCTCGGGAGCTGTCCCTGAGCTTTCCTGCTCAGAGCATGCGCTCTACCCCTTGAGCCACAGCATCACTTCTGGTTTCCTGATAGTTAATTGAAGATAAGAGTCTCACCGACTTTTCTGCCCAGGCTGGCTTTAAACCATGATCCTCAGATCTCAGCCTCCTGAGAAGCAAGGATGACAGGCGTGAGCCCCTGGCAACTGGCCAGACCTCTTTTTAAATGGTGGCTCAGTTGGGCAAGTGTCTCCATTTGACCTGTTGACCTGGCACCACTTTTGGCTTCTATGAGTATCTATTACCTGGTCAGTCCCTCCACCTATGGTTCACCTGGCTTGCCCAGAGTGGAGAAACTTCTCACCCAGGGATCGAGGTGTTTCTCCATGTAAGATCAGAGTGGGAGGAGGCGTGAGGAGTAGCATTAAGACGGCAGCGCCCAGTGGTATTGGGCTTTAATCAATAAAGACCAGATACACAGGAAGGCACTCCGTTCAGCCCCATCACCCACTGTGAGCCCCCTTTCTCTTCAGAGCTCAAGTATGAAGTATCAAGCTACAAGAGTCTAGTCCAGGAGAGAAGGTGGTGTCTATGCTCAGAGCATCTGCCTTCCTCGGAGGTTGCACAGCAGAGCACCATCGCTGCCACCGACCGGCAGGGCCATGGACTGGCTAAGTGAACTTTTCCAGAACCTTTGAACCAAGAGTTTTCAGAGGAAGGAGGACCTCTCCAAGGTCTCGCTCTCCTTCTTGAAACCAAGCAGGGTTAGGCAGGCTCCGTTGGGACTTCCTGTCCCAGGGGCCCACCTCTGTCCTTCGGTGTCCCCGAGCGTGTGCCCGTGTGGAGCAGGTGCACGTGTTGTGGTCCCGCTGTCCTAACCCTTATTTGTCTGGGATGGACACTGAGAAGGAGGTGGGCAGATGCCCGCTGTGAGCGCCATGGGCGGATGGTGTCCGGCGGTGCTTGCCTCTCTGCTCCTTCAACCCCTGGACTCACCTGCCACCGTGGGTCTCTCAGGGAAGTCCTTGACACAGTCTGCCTCGTCCTCTCCCGAGGTGCAGTCGGGCTGCCCATCACACACCTGCGTCCTCGGGACGAAGGTCAGGGGGTGTTGGCAGATGAAGTAGTATTTATTCAGAATCACCTTAACTGGAAGGCAGGGGCAGGGCGGGGCGGGGCGGGCCAGGGTCAGGCCTGGGGCAGAGCTGAGCCACTCAGAGGAGCCCAGGTGATCAGCCCAGTCCCAGGCCTCAGCGTCTTAGCTGTAGCAGCTGGCCCCATGCAGAGAAGATGGCAGAGGCATGGAGAACTGAGGAGCAGACCCTGCCAGCCTTCTGCCCCCCAAACACCAGCACGGGGCCCGCGCAGAGAGACAGAATGGGGACCTGGGTCCCAAGATCTGGTTCTGAATCCTAGCTCTGATGCTTCCTGAATAACTTTCCACCACTCACTAGTTCCTGCTAGGCCTCAGTTTTCTTTGTGCCATGGGGTGATGTTATCTACCTCACAGTGTCTTATAATGATGGAGTTTACTTCTAGAGGTTGGTGATTTGATCTGAGATTGAAGGCAAAGAGGTATGTTTCTAGTTTTGGGGAGAGAGAGAGAGAGAGAGAGAGAGAGAGAGAGAGAGAGAGAGAGTGTGTGTGTGTGTGTGTGTGTGTGTGTGTGTGTGTGCGCGCGTGCCTGTAGCTCAGGACTCTGTGGAGTAACCTTCAATTTCTGATGCTTTTGCTGTCCTGGGCCAATGTGAATGTCTTTAGTCTTCCTAGCCCCTCGATGAACAGGTAGTTCAAGAAGTTTTTTTTGGTGAAAACTCACATCCAAATATGCCTGGCAGAGGAAAAGCCCTCTTTCCTAAGTCACTGTCGCCATCAGCATGCCTAAAAGCAGTGGTGTGGAGTCTGTGATGGTTCCCACTGGTCACTGTTCTAGAGCTTTCTGCATTGTTCCTCATGGTTCATGGCAGCAAGCTTTGGAGACTCATGGCTTCCATCACCAATAGGGAAATGAGGTGGAAAAGATGGGTTTCTGTCCCAATGGTTCCCCGTGTGCAGGTGGTGCAATTGGTATCTATCCACCTCCCAGAAGAAGCCCATGGGGTGGCCGGCTGGCGTGGATGCCCTGGCTGGAGTGGAGCAAGAGAAGAGAGGGAAGGCAGGTGTTTCCTAGACTTTCCAAGTTGTGAGGAGCCAGGGTCGAGCAGGGTCACCTTCACTATCTGAGACAAAGATAGGAGACGGTGACAGGGTCACCAGTCAAGATCTCCAGAAGCCAGAGGGTTGAAGTCGCCTGGCCCACTGCTATGCGTTGGATATGGAATGGTTCCCCAGATCCCGTGTGTGAAAGTCTGGTGCTAGCCTGTGCTATTACTGGGAGTGAATGAAACCTTTAGTGGGTGAGGCCTAGTGGGAGGAAGTTAGGTCACTGGCAGGGGGGGGGGAGGGGAACATAGTCTTGTGAAGGGGATTGTGGGATCCTGGCTTCTTCCTCTCTTTTGCTTCCTGGCTCATGATGTAACCAATTGTGTTGTTCCCAGGATGGCTTCATTCACCATAGGCTTTGAAGTAGCGGAGCCAACTGGTCCTAGACTTGAGCCTCCCACAGCTGCTGGTGCAAATATAGGCTCCCTAGAGGCCAGCCATCTCGAGGCTGCACAGATTGGCAAATGCATGCAAATCCATGGTCATATTGCTTGCATGACGGTTGCCTACTTTTGAACAACTTTGTTTTTATCTAGGTCTTTTTTTTCCCCCCACACTAGTTCACTCATGCTCACAATGCTTGGAAAGAGCAGGCAGAGCCAGGATCCCCCTCCTAGAGGCTCCGATTCTGAATTAGGGCCCCAGGCACCCTCGTGAATGGAAGCACTGTGCAATGGCAGCCAGTCCCCTTCTGTGTCATGGCAGGCTGAGGCCGCAAGGCCTCAGTCCTAGGTGTGGAGAGGAAGAGGGCTGTGGGAATCACTGCAAATTCAGTTTACTCTTCCTTGTCACGGAGTGGGCCGCGACCTCAGGCTGAGGTGGGGCGGGGGTGCCACCTGCGTGGCAGCCAGCCCTGGTGCACCCCGTCCTTGCAGCCAACCCTCAGCTGTCGCTCTGCAGAAGGAGGGAGGAGGAGGCGGGGAGTGGGCACCCTTGCCATTGCCTGCGTGGGTTGGTGCCATGTATGTAGACGCCATCTGGGACGGAAGCCATTTGGGGGAGATGGAGGCTGCGTTCACCTTCTCCCCCACGCTCCCCTCTCAGAGGCCCCCCTTCAGAACAGGGGTGCCTACACTTCTTTCCCCTCCTCTCAAAACGTATGCGCACCCCCTGCCTGTTCCTGTGGGATGGCGGGGGTGGGGCTGTCACTCACGGAGATCCAAGGAGGAGACTGTCACCGCTGGGGTGAAAGCTGGGTAGGGGCTGTCACTTACTGAGGATGGCCACGGTGATGATGGTTACCAGGCTCAGCAGCGCCGCGAGGACTGGGACCCCCACCCTTTTGAAGGTCTCCAGGCGGGTGCGGGGCTTGTGCGGTGGGGTGGCATCTGTAAGGGGGTTTGCAGTGGAGGGGAAGAGCCTGAGGTCAGGGTCTGGGCGCTCCCCTCCCTGGCTAGGCTCCAGATGTCCTACTGACAGTTTTGGCTAATGTTGGGGGGCTGTTCCTGCAAGGTGGGCCAAGCAGCAGCCGCAGCGTGTAGCCACTTCATCTCCTCTGCTTCACCAGGTCCAGCCATCTTTCACGAGTGCCACCTTGGCTAGTCTTGCCCTAGGGGGTTCTAGGACATTCTTCCTGTGTCCTGTCTGGTGCTTGACATACATGAGGCCCAAGCCACAGGGAAAATTCTTCGGTTCACACCAATTTGTTAATCCTTTTCTCAACTTCCTGACTTAACCTTGAATTTTTTTTTGGGGGGGGGTCCGGTCGTGGGGCCTGAACTCTGGGCCTGGGCGCTGTCCCTCAGCTCTTCAGCTCAAGGCTAGCGCTCTACCACTTGAGCCACAGTGCCACTTCCAGCTTTTTTCTTTTTGCTTATGTGGTGCTGAGGAATCGAACCCAGGGCCTCAGGCATGCAAGGCAAGCGCTCTACCACTGAGCCACTTTCCCAGCCCCTTAACCTTTAATTTTAAAAGAATATATACTTTTGTTTTTAAACAGCACTTTGTAATGTATTATGTATGTATTATGGGAACTGTGGGACATTTCAGTCCACATAGACAATGATGCACATAGACATTTATCATTGCTTTGTGTTGGGAGAGTTCAAAATCCTCACTACTTTTGTGGTGTGTGTGTGTGTGTGTGTGTGTGTGTGTGTGTGTGTGTGTGATTCTACTGGGGATTGAACTCAGAGCCCACATGCACACACAAATAATAATAATAATTGCAACATCCCAAAACTTCTCAGCCTCATTTCTCACTTTCCTTTCCACAAAGCAGTCATCATGGCTAATATTGGCTCTATTTTGTGTATTTTCTCTACTGTATTTAACGTTTTGTCTTTTTTATTTTTAAGTCTGATATTGGAGCTCAAACACAGGCCCTCGCTCACACTCTTACTTGGCTTTTTCTGCTCACAGCTGGCACTCCAGCAGTTGAGCCATACCTCCACTTGTGGCTTTTTTTGTACTTGGAAATAAGAGTCTCTTTGTTTTTCCCCTCTGGCCTGGCTTTGAATGAGATCCTTAGATCTCCGCCTCCTGAGTAGCTAGGATTGCAAGTGTGAGCCACAGACACGTGACTCTCTCTATTTTCTGTCTTTTCCATTCCCTCCTTGAAATGAAGCCAGCAGGAAGAGAGAACTTTGTGTTTTGTGCACATAGCTGAGGTCCTGGTACCCAGAACAGTGCCCACTCTATTGCGGATACGGAAGAATTGTAATTGGAAGCAAACAAAGGACTTGTTCTTGGCTCTCTTCTCCTAAAGCACACCCAGCCATCTTTCTTCCAGTTCTTATCTTTTTCTACCTGGAATGAATAGTGCCATGGGTCTAGCCCTAGCTCTTTCCTCTGTTCTTCAAAAGCAGAGAAAGGCATCTTGCCCAAGTCTGGTGTCCAATGAATGCTGATATCAGCGAATCTGCTGATAAGGAAAAGCTGAAAGCTTGTGTTTCTCTACCTGGCAGAGGCCAGGCCCGGGGGTGAGGACTGGAGGTGGCGCTGCCAGCTAACTGTCAGGACCTGGTATGAAGCAGGCGGGCAGGACTCTTAGCCGATGCATCTTAAAGCTCCAGCAGCCAGTCTTTAGAATTACTCTCCTTCCTATGCCCAGGGACAGGATAGCATTTTGTTCATGTGGCAGCACATAGTGCGGGGTCGAGCTGGCAAGGACCATGCTGGGGAGGGGAGCAGGGTTGACTTGGGAATGGAGATTCAGAGGCTGGGGGAGGGGGCAAAGAGAAGCTGGGCCCATACTTACCATGGCTGTTCAGGGGCTGGTCACTGTCCAGGTCCTGTAATGGAGGAAGAGCAGTTGAGTGGGAAGTCTCTGAGGAGGGCTGGCAGACTTTGGGCTCTGGTCTGCACGCCTTCCTTCCTGCCACACTGAAGTACCTATTTGACCTGGTTCAACTTATTTGCTCATGGTAGCAGCTAGTTAGCAATTGTAGAAATGACTGGTTGTTCAGTGGTGTGTGTGTGTGTGTGTGTGTGTGTGTGTGTTGTGTTTGTATTGATGAATTCTCCAGATCCATTCTTTACTCTCTATTTTGGTCAATCTATCTGGTTTTATAGGTAACAATATTTCTGTAAAAACTGGAGTGGACACTTTGCCCAAGTGATTAATAAGGACCAAAAGATGAGCATCTTTTTGGTGGTGCTGGGGTTTGAACTCAGGGCCTTCCACTTGCTAGGCAAGCGCTGTCCCACTAGACCACACCCCCACTGAGATTTTATTCACCATTACTTATTAGGCAAATGTAAATTCACACCTGATGAGATAGTTCTACCCAGACCTCAGCATGGCTAAAGTAAAAAGACTGACAATACTAAGTGTTGGTGAGAATACCGAGCAAACCTTCATCTCTTGTTGGTGGTTGGGGGGAGAAAGGGCATCAAAATGCCTGCTAAGTCTATCAGTCTTAAACACAGGACTATTTTATGATTTGATGACATAGAAATTCTGCTCCAAGATTTAGCCAAATGAAAGGAATGCTTCTGTCTAATAAAAAACGTGCACACAGTGTTTATTGTGGTTTCATTCCTAATAGTGACACACTGGAGAATGCTTACTGGCAACCACGGATGGAGTAGCCAAAGAAATTGTGGTCTATTCATATCATGGAATTTCAGTATAGCCTGATGATAGCTTCAGTCACAGATTAGCTCGGCTGAATGTGAGGTGCGACAGGAGACAGGAGGAGGCCGCTGGTGTGATTGCAAGCTAAAGGCCGTGGCTTTGTCGGTGGACTGGGTGCATTTGGGTGTTTGAGAGCAGAGGAGGCAATGGCAGGCAGCAGGCTAAGAGTGTCTGGTCAGTGAGCCCTGCCTGTCAGCTCATTGTTTTTCCTTGAGTCTACTTGTACATACCTGCCTGCATTCATTGAGTTTGGTGAAGCAAGTCTTGTTTATTTATTTATGATTAATTCAATGAACATTGGCCACACCCTCTGATGGGCCAGAAATTGTGCTACCAGTAGAGACACAGAGGGAACAAAGCAAGCTTCCAAGGTGCACCTCCCTGGGCTTTGTGCTTATCCCTAGACTCGGAGGTGGCTAATGTGCTCTATGTTGGTCCACTGATCAGTGGATGTAGAAAATGCCCTCATGCCATTTATAAGCGAGAGGGGGGGAGGGGAAAAACTCAGGCACGCCTGAGCATATTCTGTTGGGACACAGCTATCTTATTTAACCCTTGCGACAACCCTCAGATGTTATCTGCATTTTCCAGAAGAGGAGAAGAAGGGCCACCTATATGAAGTGACTATTATGGCTTCAGAGCAAGAACAGATCCAGTGCTTGGAGCCTGGCCTCTAGAGAACATTGTTCTCGGGTCCCTGAAGTTTCTAGAACCTATTTGGCCAAGAGTCATTAGTGAGGTCCTTTTGCTGCTTTGGTCCTCCGCAGTGCAGTCTTGTCGCCCAGGGTGGGTGTGAATGAACACGGAGACCCCCATCCCACCCCCAGTGGCTCCCCAGCCCTCCCTTGCTCTGCTTGGTTCTAGGTTTTGCCAAGTCAACCAAGAACAGCCATGGGGGACATCTTTCAACCAAGGGGCCTTGTGGGTATTTTTTGATCTTCTTTGCCTTCTTCTCTCTTCTACTGTTTGTTCCTGGACTTTTCCATGGGCAGCTTCTGCTTTTAACCCCCCCCCCCCCACACACACACACACACACAGCCAGGCTGTATTTTAGATCCTGGAGAAAGTCAAATCCTGGGCTATTTGACTCGGCCACAAAATGGCAAATGAACCTCTCGCAATCCTGGTTCCCTTAAAGCGCAGAGATCATGAACTCAGATGCCAGGAAACTCTTGTTTTTAAGTGCAGGAGGATTAACTATGTTGTAGAGCGGCCGCACAGAGTGATCTATTAGCTTGCTGTGTGGCCTTGGGTAGACTTCTCAACCCTCTGAGCCTCAAGGTTCCTGTCAGGGAGTTGAGCACTCTCAGAAACGGCGAAACAGGAAAAGAGTGAATGATTTTACAGTGCAAGCCAGTGTGTAACCAGGCTACTGACGAGGCAAAGAGGCAGCTGCTCAAGGAGGCCAAAGGGGCAGAACGCTGGCCAGCAACTTTGCCTGCTCTGGCTAGCAGCCTGCTCCTGGGCCTTGCTGCTCCCTTTTCTCAGCAGAGTTTTTCTCAGCATTGCCTTATTCTGGAAGAAGTCAGTAGAGGTAGAACTGGAATGATCAGCTATGGTTGAAGGAGCACAGAAGGGGGACTTTTCCTGGCCCTGCCCTGGTCGGTGGTGTTTTCAGGCTCCTATGGGCCCCAAGGCCTGACTTCCCATGATCTCCAAGGGAAAGCCAGAGATGTCACTGTTGCTAGGCAACGGGATACACAGGTCCTTGGAGGCTCTGTCAGCTGGGTTGCTGGGGCTGGTGGCAAGGCAGTGGGTAAAGCCCAGGGGAGGGGAGGGGTGGGAAACCTTCTCTGCTGAGCCAAGACACCCCAGGCTGCTCTCCGTCCTTCCAAGGAGTGGGGTTCGGGCCTCTCGGGTGCTCACAGACCCCCTAACCCGCACCTCATCCACCCTGCCATTGGCAGCAGTGCACCCCCTCTGAAGTGGGGGCAGGAGGTTTGATGCTTTCAGGAGGGTCACAGGACCCTGCCTCGTTGGTACCTCAGCCATGACAGGTAAGGGGACTGGAAGGGACACAGAAGCCCCGGGAGGGGCTGCACTTACTAGGGTGAGTGTGGCCGGGAAATCTGGGAAGATTTCAGATTCAGCAACCACGCCAACTTCCACCCAGCCCTTTCTCCAGGCAGGTCCCCCACCCCAAGCTAGGCACACAGAAGATTCTGGAAGCAGCCTTTCACACTCTGTCTTCCAGAGGCACGTTTCCCTTTCATCTAACCTCAGCCTCAGCTGCTACATTAGAAACCATTTTGTGTTGTTTTCTAAGCCACATAGGTGCTGAGCAGCTGGCAATGTGAGCTGGCCACCTCGGCCTCAGTCTCTGTGGTGGGGCCTGGGGCCGATAGATAGGAGGTGTCAGCTTGCCTTTATCCTCTGCCAGTCTGCTGTTTAGCTCTGTCATTTAAGATGGCGCTTTTGTGTTTGGGCAAGGCTCTGGAAAGCAGGTAGGACTTGGGGAGAAGGTGGAGAAGGAATGGTCCCTTTTTTACTAGTGGAGCAACTGAGGCACAAGGGTTCTGCTCTTTCCGCTCAAGCCATGCGGCTGGACAGGGAGAAGCGCAGGAGCACAGGTCCTGGGCTGACGCCAGGCTCCCAGGTTTCTAGCATGTTCTCTCAGCCTCTTCTCTTGTTCTGGATGGGGATGGGGGTGGGGGTAGGGAGAGGAGGAAGTCCATTCTCCCCTGCCTTTCTGCTACTGGACTTTTCTAAGTTGCTTAGCCTTCCTTGGCCTGTGCTATGAACGGAGGAGTTCCATGAGTGGACATGGTGCTTCTGCTCCAGTTATCCAGCCTGAGGAGAAGGCCACATCCGGTTCGAGGAAGGTCTGCACTGGGGCTCTGTTCAGAGGCAGGAATGGCCTCTCCCTTGTTCTGGATGCGTGGGTGATACCCAGCACTGTGGACCATTTGGTTGCTGCAGCCAGTCTCCTGGCAAAGGTCTTAGGGGCTTTTTTTTTTTGGTTGGTTGAGGGGCTTGAACTCTGGGCCTGGGCGCTGTCCCTCAGCTTTTCAGCTCAAAGCAAGTGCTCTACTCCTTGAGCCATAGCGCCACTTCTGGTTTTTCTAGTGGTTCATTGGAGATAAAAGTCTCAGGGACTTTCCTGCCTGGGCTGGCTTTGAACCGTGATCCTCAGATCTCAGCCTCCTGAGTAGCTGGGATGACAGGCTTGTGCCACCGATACTCGGCTTCTTGGTGGCTTTCCTGAGAACTCTGAACTCAGAATTCAATGAAAAGTGCTTCTGTGATGTTCCAGAACCTCTGTACATGATTACTTCCGGGATCTCTGTGCATGGTTATTTCCGGGACCTCTATGCACGATTACTTCCGGGATCTCTGTGCACGGTTATTTCCAAGACCCCTGTGCATGGTTACTTCCGGGCTCCCCGTGCATGATTACATCGTGGTTGCACAACTGCGGTTCCTCTCCCACTTTCCTACTCTCTTGCACAATGCTGAGAATACCTCATGAAGTTTCTCCTCCCCGCCACGCCACTTGCTAAGCGAGAGCATGGGTGACCTTGCCTGGAACACAGGCACTGCCACTATTTAACCATTGAGTTGACTTGATGTATGAATGAGAGACAGGAGACAGAGAAACAGAGACAGTCTCTGTCTCAGAGAGACACATTCAGAGAGGAGACACAGAGGCCCAGCGCTAGAAGGCATAGACAGAAATGGCGAGACAGACACGATGACAGACATGAGCCAAAGCACAACACAGAGACACGAGGACAGAGACACAGAGAACAATTCATGAAGGTGTCCTCTCAATGAGTCCCCAGTATGTAGAGCATATAGCACATGATCCGGTACAGAGTAATTGCAGAAACTGTGCTAATAACTAATAACAATAAGAATGATAATATAAATAACACTTTATTCCTCCCACGAGGGGCTCTTGGAGGGCTACACACCATCAGTGAAGAGTTTTGGGGGCCAATGAAGCAGGGATCCCATTATTGTTCTGAATAATTAATAACAATATTGAGCTAGAACCTGGCCAGTACTTGACATAGTAGATACTCAAAACATATTCATTATTAATGGTGAGGAGCTTCACAGAGGGCCTGGCGGGAATGTGATGGGGGTTGAAGAGATGGAGCTATTTTGGTGATTTCATAGGCCAAGGGGCCTGACATGGGGAAGGAGGCTATG